AACTTTCCTCATCATTGTATCGCTTAATCCACAGTCTAGTGATATAATTGGTGTGCTGGCACTGCGGGCCGATGTCCCTGTCTCAGACTCTGAGCCGTTTGTCAACCGAAAGCGGAAACAAAGCGATCGCAAAGACGACGCTGCGGATTTGTTGGGTCCCAGACCGCCAGAGATGCCTGCTGGCGTGTCTCTGAATCTCATCGATTCTCCCAGTCTCATCAACCGTCCAGTGGTGAGCTCAAGTCGCGTGCGAGCAGCACAGACGCGTCTTTCCGGACAGGCGGGTTCAGACGACGTGGCCCAAGCGATGCGTCTTCCATTGCACACGAATGAACTCGGTGGTACGGATTCAGATGATCCACTCGCTTGGAACCTACATCCACGCTTCACGTTCAATCAAGCCATGGATCTTGATGCCGCAACACCCAACAAGAGTGGTATGCCCCTCCTGTTCGACGGTATACCCTTTCAACGTTCTGAGATGCTGTTCGATCTAGGTTATCAGAATAGCACCCTGCCGACGGACAGGGCTTTCGGTGAGCTGTTCGGATTTGGTAGCGACGGTCAACAACTCGGACCGGCTCCTACGGCATATGGCTCCACCACGCCTTCAGTATTCAATTTCCCCGAGCCTGGGTCAGTCGAGGAGCTGCTGCACAGCATAGAAAACGCGGACCTATGGAATGGCATGCCTCCCGGGTAGGCTGCCCGTTACTAGTTCTTCCTGCTTCTTATACGTTTGTTAATTCCCGTCGCAGAGCAAACTGGACCCCTACGGAGATGTACACGTCTGGAAGATTTGGAGCAGGCCGGTCCCAATCATGATTATGATTTTTTGATATACCCCATGTACCGTACAAGCTTTACTGTTGCCGCAGCTCGATTCCTTCGATTTCTTCCTGGCTAGCCAAGGAGAAGGATGCCCAAGAGGATCCTCCCAAGCAAATGTCGCGACTGTCATGAGTATTAATTAATAAGCGCTCCTGTGCTGATGAGTTGTGCTGAGATACGAAAGAGCCCGAACTCGTTCCTTAATTGCTACGCTACCCATTCTCGGCCATGTCCTCCTCCTCCGAGAACGCTTCAGACGACGTATGCATCACTAAACCTAGGAGATTGGCAAAGAGGCGGCGGGCCACCCTGGCCTGCGACGGCTGTAGAAAGAGGAAAGGTAGGTGACCACGCGACCCCCTCACCGACGCTCACCGTCTGTTGAAGTTCGCTGTAAGCGGTTCACGCTTATTCATTGTAACATTTTGACCTGATCCTGCGACTTGAGGCGATGGAAAGCAGGAGAATGGGAAGTGTACGAGCTGCACGGCATTCGGTTGGAAGTGCTCTTTCTTCGACGCGACTAAGGTGTGTGGTCATATCCAAGCTTGAACTGTTGTTCATGCGTACCTTTTTTCAGAAATACCCCGGGAAGTAAGTAAGTACTAGGATTTCATGTTTATGTGCTGGAAGAGGGTCAGATACGTCGAGGCGTTGGAAGCGAAGGTCAGAAAGTACGCGGAACTATTGAAGCGGGTGCGCAGTCGTCTCCTCCCCCTGTTTCGCTGCCTCGTTATGATGCCCCAGTTACACCCCAATGAAGACTTTACGAGCGAAGTTGGACCCCCGCTGACGCGCGAGGGCTGGCATCAGGATACCATTCCTGACGGGCTCGAATCTGGGACTCAAAGCGTGTTTTGTCTCTCTGAACTAGCGGGTCCATCCCCGAGACAGTCCTCCAACGCTGCCGAAGTCCTTGTAGGAGCAGCGAACAATCCGATCAACGCAGTTCGCACGATCCAACATCAAGCACAATCCCAACAGGACGAACGCGAACCGTCAGACAATGAGGCGATTGGCCAGAAGCTCGAAAACCTGACGAACGACTTTGACAGGCTCCTGCGAGCTGAGTTTCATGGGAAGTCGTCAGCAATGGCGCTGTTTAGGAAGTTGATGGACGAGATCGAGTTGTCGGGGATGCCCAAGCCCAAAAAACCTAAATTTGATGTTCCCTCGGTGCGTGGCTTATACCTAGTATGCTTTCACGACCCGTTCATGTTAATTTCCATGATAGTGGGAGAAGAAAGCCTTTCAGCCCGAACATAAATCGTATACCTTCCCAGAGTCCGATTTATTTCGTCTCCTCATCGATGCATACTTCGATAATTCCAATATTATCCTTCCTGTCCTACACCGCCCAACTCTCGAAGACGGCATCCGCTCTGGCAAACATATCACTGACGAAAGTTTCGGCGGTGTCATATTGTTAGTCTGTGCCATCGGTGCACGCTTCTTAGCCGACTCGCGCGTCCTGCTCCCGGGAAGCAACTTGCGATATTCGGCTGGCTGGACTTGGTTTACACAGATCGATATCCCCCGATTGCTCATGTTCTCAGCATCGCGCCTCCATGATCTGCAAATTGCCTGTGTGCGTCTGCGTTCATCCATCAACTTCTTATTGGCGTTCACGACGTTTCTTACAGCTAGGTGCTATTTACCTGGCTGGGTGCTCGATGCCGGCAGTAGGATGGAATATGGTAGCCATTGGCATCCGGATAGCGCAAAACATTGGCGTGCACAAGAAGCATGTCTACGGATCGAAGCCCACCGTTCAGGACGAACTTTTCAAGCGATCATTCTGGTCAGTACTTATCAGACGAAAGTATCATCCGTATTTATCCTAGGAAGGGTTCTCCTATTTTTGGACCGATGGGAAAGCTCCACAACGGGACACCCATGCACTATTCAGGAAGAAGAGTGTGTATGCCTCCATTTTTCGCGTATCATTTAGTAACGGCACCAGCTTTGACCTTGATATGCCTGTGGACTGCGATGACGAGTACTGGCTTCTCCCTAATCCTGATCTAGCTTTCAGTCAGCCGACTGGACAGCCGTCTCGCGTCAGTGCATTCATCTGTAACTTGAGGTTGTGCCAGATCCTCGGATACGCGTTACGTACGATAGTGAGCATTCGTTCTAAGATCACCTCGAAGTAATAGCTGACACTGGTTTGAGTACGCGAGCAAAAAGGCCAAGCGTCACTTCGGATTCGCTGGTGAAGAGTGGGAACGACGTACCATCGCCAATTTCGATTCAATCTTGAATATGTGGGCAGATTCGGTCCCAGATCACCGTGCGCTTTGACTATTTCCACGCAATGATGTCGCCTCACATCAATATAACAGTGCGCTGGGATCCAACCCGCGATCAGGATGTGTTCTACCTGCAGTCCGGACACCTCTATGCACATTTCTACGACCTGCAAGTGCTGGTCCACCGACCTTTCATCTCCCCGCGCAAGACGCCATCACATTCCTTCCCTTCCATTGCAATCTGCGTGAATGCAGCGCGATCGTGCACACACCTTATCGATGCTCTGCATAAACGCTGGCCGAAGCGCTTTCTCCCCTACTTACATGTCAGTATTTATCGATATTTATCTTCCACTATGGGAGCGGCTGACATCTGTTCGAGTACAGAGACCACTTTTGGTTGCTGGCGCGGTATTAGTAGTAGGCATTTGGAATGCTAAGCGCACAAACATATCACTTCGACTGGATAAGGAGATCTCGGATGTTCAGACCTGCATTCGCTGCATGCAAACGATCGAGGAGGGATGGTATCCAGCACTCCGTTCCAGGTCTGTTTCTCTCGGGTCCACAGCTGTTGTCGCTCACGCCAAAGAGAGGCACTTTTTGACGCTTATACTTACGCCTCTCTGTGCAGAGGTCGTCGTCGATGACTACCCCTTGCACAGCCAAAAACGTAGGCGTGACTACATGGGCGACCCCCTCGCGTCTACATTCATCTCAAGCCCCGACTCCTCCTCGGCTCCTTTTTCTACCTTGCCTCAAACGTCTGCCAGCCTTGATGAACGTCTGACCGCCGGCTCGCGCCGCGTAGCAACCTACGCTGAACATCCGCGGAAAGAGCATCCCGGGTCTGGCTCAACGCTCCCGTTCCATACCACTGAACTCGAACACATGGCCGCGAATGATCCGCTAGGCTGGAACATCTATGACTTCACATTCTCTGCGCCTGTTCCGCCCGCCGACATGCAGCCTAATACGAACAGTACTGCAATGGCAACAAGCCAATACTCGTTTCAGAATCCCAACGCCCTGCTTGGTAACTGGAACTCTGGCCTGCAGACGGCGACACTGGACAGGGACTTTAGCGAACTCTTCGGACTCGGCAGCGACGATCAATTTGCAGTTACTTCTACCGCAATGGACTCCGCATTCGATGTTCCAGCACCGTCTTTCATCGACGACCTGCTTCGCAGCGTCCAAGATCCTTGGCCAGGGATGTCCTTTGGGTATGTCATACAATACACACACTTGCAGGTCCACCGCTCTAAAAACACCGACTCAAGGGCCTTACTTTAGACGAAGCTGACGAGGCGTGTTTTGCGCGGGAAGTTCAAGTGTATATTCTTGCACGTATTTAGTGCATGACTGGACGCGTGACTGAAGAATGCACAAGAGGGATAAGAGCCTATTTGGATAGGCTAAGAGTCGAACAGACAGACCTGAACGGACAGTGAATCATTGGCCATCTGTGTTCGATCGACCATCTACTTCTGTGACCTATTATCATAGATCGATACGCCTGTGCTCTCACGAACACCGTATGTAGTGCCATGAGTCGTCCGGCCATTTGAAGAGCACAGTTCCTCGGAGAGATATGACTAACCCCCCCAAGGACTCGACCTACTGTAAATAGGAGCATGGTGATCTCTATATGCTCTGAGTTGATCCATACTGTGATTGTGCACATAGACCACTGGTACCAAAGCTCCCCTTCGCTCTTACGCCTCAAAAAAGACCAGAAATCATCTGCAGTAGTTTCTCTCTCGCCTTGTTCTAGAGAAACAATCTAGAAAGATACATCAAAAAATAAGATGTGTTATTAATGAGATGCTTTCTGCCTTTTAGAGGAGAGAGGGGTCCTTGTATGATCTACTGAGTGCAGATGTAGATGCTTCAAAATACTTTCTACAGCAGAATTGACGACAGTGGGATTCGAACCCACGCCCTTTCGGACTGGATAGAAGGATAATAGAACCTGATTCCAGCGCCTTAGACCGCTCGGCCATATCGCCATATTTTCCTGGTATTTTTAGCATAGCTTGTTCATTGTATCCACTTAACGTTCGTTCAACCTCCCAACAATCATCCCGTTATCTGGCTCACTTCCACCACATTCCATGCTTCTCGCCCTGCATGGAACCCCAAAAACAGAATCGCATTCAGTGTCGCTATTTTCTCCATCACAGCTCGTCCCGCCCCTGCACCACATCCCACGGCCGGCGCTCGTCGCGTGACTTAGGCGGCTTGGCGGACATGAGCATTCCGAGGAAGTCGTGAACGATGTCAGCAGCAGCGATGGACGTGACGTCCGCTACATAGATCGCGCGCGATTAGACGGGAGAAGACGCGCGGGAAAGGTAGATAGAGGGTGCGAGCACGTAGAAGAGGACCCACCATGATCGTAGGCGGGCGCGACTTCAACAATGTCCGCGCCACTACAAATACGCGTCAGCGAGCGCCGGGCCGGGAGGAAGAAGGAAGTGTGTACACGATGTTAAGTCCTGCGAGGCCGCGAAGAATGCGCTTAACCTCACGCGTCGTCCAGCCTCCGGCCTCGGGTGTGCCCGCTGCAGGTGGACGTGTGAGCGAGTGCGAACAAGAGGATATCTGGACTCACTCGCAGGCGCAAGACCGGGATCTGTGCGCAGATCAGCCTTAAAGTCCACCAGGCAGTAAAGGAAGCGCACGAACCGATCACGTCAATGTCCAAACTTCGTTTCATGCCATCACACTGGATGAGTGCGGGCCGCTAGGGAGAGGGGGATGACGCACACCTGAGGTAGACTGGGCGGTCGCCGACATGCGCGCGGATGCGGCGGACGACCTCGGAGAGGCCGATGTCATCGAGGTCTTCGGTGGACACGATGCGGAAGCCGTTGCTCTCGTCGTTCTCGACGTCACCGATGCCCTGCGGTGCGCATCAGCCGCGTACATGAGCATGCAGGCCGGCGAAGCGGACGCACCGCCATCTTTGTTCGAATGCCAGCGTGGACACTTGCATTGCGGAGGAGGCCCTCCTCGCGCGCGACGTGGAAGAACGTGCCGTGCGTGATGCGGCTCTGGTCGGACGGTGCAGGCACAGGTGGTGCCCAGGTGTCAAGGTGGGCGTCAAAGTGGATGACGGAGACGGGCCCGTAGACACCGTTGAGCGCGCGCAGGATCGGGAGTACGATGGTGTGGTCGCCGCCGAGGCTGCAGGTGGACATAAGCAGTGCGCAAGAGGTCAGGGAGGCACGGCGTACGTGACGATGCGCGGATGCGCGCGACCGTCCTTGGCGAGCGCGCGCGTTGCCTCGGAGCGCGCGAGCGTCGCGTTCGCAACGGGACGCGCGAGCAGTGACGCGTACGCGACCTCCATCTGGTCGAGCGCGAGCGCGTTGTCGAAAGGGTTCACGGGCACCTGGTCATGTCGAGCCGTCAGCTAGCGACCACGCGTGGCGGGTGGAGAGGACGCGCACATCGCCGCAGTCGACGACTGTCGCGCCCTGCTTGTACGGGTCAAAGCCCCACGCAAGTGTGTACGCGCGCTGCGCGTTCTGGCGCCGGCTGCCCGTGCGAATGCCCGCGGGCCCGAAGCGCGCGCCGGGACGGTACGTCACCTGCGAAGTGCAACGATCAGTCCGAGTCCGAGTCACAGTGTACAGAACGCACGCTGGTGTCGAAAGGCATGCCAAGCACGGCGACATCGAACGGCACGGCGGCAGCGGTGTCCTCGAGGCAGCGCGCGTAGTTGATATGCGCGAAGGCGAGAGGCCCTGTGTAGCCGAGGTCGGGCTGGGTGCCATACTTTTCCGCCCAGGTCGCGCTACTCGCTACAGCTTGCGGCTGCGCGGGCGCGCGAAGGACGGCCTGCTCGAGCGAGTGCTCATGCGCGTGCGCGTGCTCATGCTCGGCGTCGTTGCCGTGATGCGCGCAGGCGCCGAGGACAAGGAAGAGCAGGGCAGCGAAGCGGGCGGTTAGAGGCATTTCTCGTAGGGGAGGGAAGGGGAGAGATAGCACGCAACGACATAGGGTCGGGTAGATTTTCTCAGGCTCGGGTTCGAAAGACGGACTCGGAGACAGATATGCGGGACGGAGGGTGTTACGGCAGTTGGGGCCAGATAGCGCGTGGAACCGAGTGTTCCTTTATTTTCGAAAGCGCCGAACTGCAGCTGGTAGGACCTTCTCATTACAGTAACATTGATCTCGATGCCAAATATTATTTTTTGTACTCCTACGCGATTCAGCATCCAATCGGTACATGCTTTTTTTTCTAGAACAGATGATGTTGTTGTTGGGTGAGTACTTGTGGCGGGAGCAGATTGATAAACGCTGTCCGTAATGCGGGTTCAGGCTTGAGATCTTGAGAGGCCGCGTATTTTGCTTGCATCTTTCCACCACCATCCTCTCCTCTCACTACTCATCCTTAGCCCCATGGTATTACCTCAAGTTCCTCAATCTGATGCGTTCTACGTCTCGTCTGCGGCGCGGTTATCGTCTCTCAGCCATGCGCATTTTCGGCCGCTATTTGCGCCCCCTCGATAATCCCCACCCTAGCCTAGAGAAATTGCGCGATGAACGCGCCGCACTTTTGGAACTCGCTCGCCTCGCTGATGAGCAACGGAACAGCTTGATACCTATCGCGCGGCTACCGGACGACGTACTGTGCCTCATTTTCGAGAATCTCTAGCACCAGTGTCATCAAGAGTGCAAGCCCCACTCAAGAGCCTGGACAAGTCAAGGGGATATTAACACCCTAGCTTGGATGAGCATTGTGAGTGTGCAAGAGATGGAGAGAGGTGCGCAGATTTAAGCTACCTTTTTGTGTACAAAGCTGCAGCTCCATTAGGTTGCTGTGGATCTCGCCGAGATGTGGAACACGATTTGTATCGGGAACGGGTACACGAGGACGGCCCTCGGTGTCGACACCTTTCTCAGTCGTTCGAAGGCCTCCCTCTTGGATGTCAAGCTGGCTACGGGCCCGCCAAATGGCACCTCCATGTTTCTACTTCTCAATCGCCTCCTGGACGGCCACTCTCATCGCCTTTGGAAGCTGGCTCACGATCTCGACCAAGACTCGACGCGATATCTTGAGGATCTCTTCCTATCCCCTAACTTGTTCGCGCTCACGCATCTGTCTTTTGGCATACATACACACGAGCGAGTCGTATTCTCTTGGCGGGAGAGCACCAGTTTTGGCTGTTACCACCAATTGGATATACCAAATGCCCAAGCTGAACCACCTCTCTATCCACGGATTCACTATTAGGGGTGCATCCGACCTTCCCTTGGCTGCTCCCCAGCAAATATTCGGGAACATCACCTCATTTTAGGTTACAGACCCGTTGTGCGCTAGTATGGAGCCCAGCTTCGAAACTGTGCTTCGACTCGGGAATGCGATGATTCGTCTCGAGCAGCTGAGACTCAAGAACTGATTCCCTCTCGACATTCCTCCAGCTGCTGAGTCCATCTATCTTCCGGAGACTGTCAACTCCATCATACTTGAATCCGATTCCTCCATGTGTGCACCGCCTTTTCTAGTGCACCCCACGACCTCCCGATCTATCTCTCTCACAGCAATGTCGCCCGTGGTGCACAGTCATTGCACGCGGACATACCTAGAATCTCGCACACCACGCTATGTCTCCGTAAATAGGAGCGCCGATGGTGATCTAGCCCGTGTCGCGGTGCGGTATACCCTAGCACGCTCCGAGGTCGACATGGCAGCCGGCTCAGCGCCGTACGACTTCGCCCTCCAGCTCATCAGTGACAAGTGGGACAAATGGGACTTGGAGTCGCGGTGCTTGCGCTTGCTAGATTTTGAGGATGTGTGCAAAGATATGTGCAAGGTGGAGCTCACGCATGTCTCCTGTACCGACAGCGAGGTAGAGGGCACTAAACGGGATTGGGTACGCCTCAGCGGGCTGCAGGTCACGCATGACTCCTATACCGACAGCGAGATACAGGACAGCGGGCGAGTTTGGGAGCGCCTCAGCGGGCCGCGGGTCATGCACGTCGTTGCGCGCGGCACGATGGCATGCACGTCGTTGGTCTTCGTGTTGGAGGTGCCGGGCGCGCCACGAAAATGGAGAGACGGCGAGGGGCTATATCCGCGTCTTGAGAGCGTCCGCTTCGTTATGGACGGCGAGAGGGAGCGGTTGTGCAATGCCAATATGTTCGTGTGGTGGGCGAGAGCTAGAGGTGCATGTGGAGCGCCCGTTCGGAGCGTCTGTTTCTCGCCGGGCGTAGTGGAGGACGAGGTGCTGGCAAAGCTGCGGCAAGTTGTTAAAGCGGTGGAATGTGCGTCGTGGCCGTAGTCAGACTGCTTGGACGCATGCATGGGTTTCGGCCGTGTACGTGTCAGACCTTTTACAGGCTGGACGGTGCATAACTGCTGCACGACCCGCACCCTCTACCGCACTGTACGCGAACGATCGAGAGCCCAGACGCGCCGGATATTCTACCGTGAGACGCGCGGTACTGAGCGTTCCGAGGGGCGCGTACGCCCGCGGAGCCGCCGGCCGCGGTACGGTACGCTACTGCGCGGCTGCTGTGACCCCCGGCCGGCGCGGCGCCGAGGTCGTGTAGGATTGTGCCGCGCACTGCATGCAGAAGCAAGCCCGTGCGCAGCCGATCGGTCGCAGGGACGGGAACGAGTGACCTCGGCGTGGGCGCGGGCGCGGCGTCGGGCCGGGGCGTCGAGCAAGCTTTCGCGGCGTCGGGGGCCGTGAGTCTAAGTTATAATGTGATGGAGCTAGTCTGATGATTGCTGTCGCTGTCAACGGCAAAGCGTATAGTATGATCGACCGATAGCATTAATTATTGCGGGCGCGGAAGGGGTTCCGGTCCGGCCGACGTTCCGCCGAGGAAGGGAGGGATAGGTTGCGGTGGGGGGTCGGCGAGTGGGATGGGTCGGGCGGAGGAGGTCATGCTGGAAGAAGGTCAAGGGGCGCAGGCGGGAAGATGCAGCGCGAGGGAGAGATCAGCGGTGGGGTGCGAACTGTTGGGCGGCGCGTGGGCGCGCGCGTCCTGA